TGGAATTCTATTAACTAAATAAGTAACTTGTTACTGCTGGCATATTTCTCATTTACAAGTGCTAATTGATTACAAACGAAATCTAAATGTTTACCATTGAAATGTGCTGAAATGTGATCAGCATGCCCTTTGCTATTTTATACATTTATTCTTTTGAAGCCAGTGAATAGAGGTGACTCGAATAACCTTTAGTGGTTCTAATTGTTTTGATAACTAAAAGGTAATCTTTTACTAGCATCAAAAAGGAATCACATCCACCTGAATTAATCTCCAAAAACTTTGTAAAAATCATATGGCTCCTAAGATACATCAGAAGTCTGCACTTAATACAATGTTTCAATATTTCATTTATTTATTTACTTGGGGATATTTTGATGCTTATTAAGCAGAAGGTGTCCAGGATCACAGTATTTTCCTATTTGCTACCTGCTGTGTAAGAACTGAAAATATTCAGGGTAGATGGAACACATCATTTCTGTCAATGACAACCAGGTGTAGAGCTGGATGAACACAGCAGGCCAAGCAGCATCATAGGAGCAGAAAGGCTGACGTTTCGGGCCTAGACCCTTCATCAGAAAAGGGGGATTGGAAGGGGGGGTTCTGAAATAAATAGGGAGAGAGTGGGAGGCGGATAGAAGATGGATAGCGGAGAGGATAGGTGGAGAGGAAACAAACAGGTCGAAGAGGCGGGAATGGAGCCAGTAAAGGTGAGTGTAGGTGGGGAGTTAGGGAGGGGATAGGTCAGTCCAGGGAGGACGGACAGGTCAAGGGGGCAGGATGAGGTTGGTCGGTAGGAGATGGAGGTGCGGCTTGAGGTGGGAGGAGGGGATAGGTGGGAGGAAGAACAGGTTAGGGAGGTAGGGACGAGCTGGACTGGTTTTGGGATGCGGTAGGGGGAGGGGAGATTTTGAAGCTTGTGAAATCCACATTGATACCATTGGGCTGCAGGGTTCCCAAGCGGAATATGAGTTGCTGTTCCTACAACCTTCGGGTGGCATCGTTGTGGCACTGCAGGAGGCCCAGGATGGACATGTCGTCTGAGGAATGGGAGGGGGAGTTGAAATGGTTCGCGACTGGGAGGTGCAGTTGTTTATTGCGAACCGAGTGTAGGTGTTCTGCAAAGCAGTCCCCGAGCCTCCGCTTGGTTTCCCCGATGTAGAGGAGGCCACAACGGGTACAGCGGATGCAGTATACCACATTGGCAGATGTGCAGGTGAACATCTGCTTGATGTGGAAAGTCTTCTTGGGGCCTGGGATGGGAGTGAGGGAGGAGATATGGGGGCAGATGTAGCACTTCCTGCGGTTGCAGGGAAAAGTGCCGGGTGTGGTGGGGCTGGAGGGGAGTGTGGAGCAGTCAAGGGAGTCACGGAGAGAGTGGTCCCTCCAGAAAGCAGATAAGGGTGGGGAGGGAAAGATGTCTTTGGTGGTGGGGTCGGATTGCAGATGGCAGAAGTGTCGGAGGATGATGCGTTGGATCCGGAGGTTGGTGGGGTGGTACATGAGGACGAGGGGGATTCTTTTTTGGTTCTTATTGCGTGGACGGGGTGTGAGGGATGAGTTGCAGGAGATGTGGGAGACACGGTTGAGGGCGTTCTCGACCACTGAGGGGGGGAAGTTACGGTCCTTGAAAAATGAGGACAACTGAGATGTACGGGAGTGGAATGCCTCATCCTGGGAGCAGATGCGGCGGAGGCGATTTATTTCAGAACCCCCTTCCCCTCCCCCTTTTCTGATGAAGGGTCTAGGCCCGAAACGTCAGCCTTTCTGCTCCTATGATGCTGCTTGGCCTGCTGTGTTCATCCAGCCCTGCACCTTGTTGTAAAGGGAAGGAATGGTTTGCTTTAGAAGGAGAAAAAAAGGGGAAATTAAAAACAAATACTTTTAAATCTCCAACAATTAATATTCGAAGGAATGAGACCTCACACATGTAGTAGATAACATTCATTACTAGACAGTTTGGGTAGGAGTAATTGGAACTTATCACTTAATTAAAAGGGTACACAGGCCAAAATAAGCACAACTTAACTTTCCGAAGGAAGTTTTGAGCACAGCTACAGCAGTTTCCTGCCATTCAGTATATGACAAGATTGAGACGAACTGCAAGAGTTTGTTACGGAAAGAGGAGCACTGGAAAAGTACATCACGAGCAGTAACATTTGTATACATGAGTTTAATTACAGATCTTCTGCCGACTTCCATTTCCCCCAACACCGACTGTTTTTGTACATTTTGCATTTCAATTAAGAAAAGCTCCATTAGCCCTATTAGTGTTCTGTGCAGCTGGACAATCTCACTAGAGCATTGGGATCAATGTCAATGTTTCTGCATCAACAGTCTACAAGACTCCATGTGACCCCTTTAGCCATGGGGGACTGGGTCAGAACTGGCCAAAATCGAGCAACTGAGAACGGTAATTTCATGCCATTTGTCTAGAATGGTTCTGGGCCCAGGATGCCAAGCTGAAAAAACATCTGCTGCTCATTCCCTGTGTATCAACTTTTTAATAAACAGACAAACATATGAGTTAGGAGAAGAGTAGGCCATTCAGCCCTTTGAACCTGGACTGCCATTCAATAGGATCGTGGCTGATCTAATTACTTCATATTCCCATCTACTTCTGAGAACCTTTGAGCCTCTTGCTTATCAATAATCTATCCACCTCTACCTTAAAATATTCAAAAGACTCTACTTCCTCAGCCTTTTGAGAAAGGTGGCTCCACGGAGTAGAGAAAAAAGTCCTCATCTCTGTCTTAAATGAGCAGCCCTATCTTCTTAAACAGTGACAGCTGCTGTATAGTACAACTGGATTTCCTGCAGCTTTGCTGTCAGTGTATTAAAGATTACAAGGATAGATTCCACTTTCCCACCTCCACTCTATCCCATCCCAGTAGTCTTCAGTGGTCCAACAGCTTGGAGGGAGGCCTGACCTGTTTTGGTGGCATTGGCTAATAATGTGCCCAGTCGAACCAAAAGAAGCAGTGGTCCATATTGCCAAAGTGGCACCCTTATCCAAGAAGAGAGGCGTGTAAAAGCATGTAGTTATAGGTCACGTAGGCTAACGTCTATTGTTGGAAAAATGCTGGAATCAAATATTAAAGAAGTAATAGCAGTAACATTTGGAAAATCATAATCTAATTGAGCAGAGTCAGCATGGCTTCCTGAAAAGGAAATGGTGTTCAACTAATTTATTAGAGTTTTTCGAGGAAGTCTCAACAAGAGTGGATAAAGGGGGAAACTATAGCTATGTTGTGTTTGGAATACCAGAAAGTGTTCAACAAGGTACCTCACAAAGGGTTAAGTCTTAAGAGCCCAGGGTGTTGGAGGTAGTATAATGGCATGAATAGAAAATTAAGTCATGGGCAGGAAACAGCGAGTGGGAATAAAGGGCTGTTTTTCATGTTGGCAACTTGTAACCAGTGGGGTTCCAAAGGGATCAGTGCAGGGACCACAACTGTTTACAAAATATGTAATAATTTGGAGGAAGGAAGCAAAAGTACTGTTGCCAAATTTGTGGACAACATGAAAATAGATGAAAAGGCAAGTGCAAGATCGATACAGACAGATGACAGAGAGAGCTTTATAGGTTAAGTCAATGGGCAAAAAGTTGGCAAATGGACCATTATGTGGGAAAATGTGAAGCTGTTCATTTTGGAAGAGAGAACAAAAGAAGAGCATTATTTAAATGGAGAAAAACTGCAGAAAGCTGCAACACAAAAGGACTTGGGAGTATTTGTGCACAAAACACAGAAACCCAGCACAGAGGTGGAACAGGTAATCAGGAAGGTGCATCACATCTGGAGTACTGTGACCAGTTGTGGTCCCTTTATTTAAGGAATGATATCATTTCATTGGAGGCAGTTCAGAGGAGTTTCACTCAGATGATCCCTGGTATGGAGGAATTGTCTAATGAGCAAAGACGACACAAGGTGTGAATCCACTCGCTGGAGTTTAGAAGAATGAGAAGTGATTTCATTGAAACAAAAAGGATTCTTAAAGTCTTTGATAGCGTAAATGCTGAGAGGATATTTCCCCTCATGGAAGAGTCAAGGACCAGAGGACATAGTCTCAGAATAAAGGAGCACCAATTTAAGACTGAGATAAGGAAGAATTTCTTCTCTCAGAGGGTTGAGACTCTTTGGAACTCCTTGCCACATAGAGCTGTGGAGACAGAGTCCATGTGTATATTTAAGGCTGAGATAGATAAGTTGGGGAATCAGAGGTTATGGGGAAAAGGCAGGAAAGTGGATGTGAGAAACCAAAACCGAAAGGACTGCGGATGCTGTAAATCAGAAACAAACACAGTAATTGCTGGAAAAGCTCAACAGGTCCAGCAACATCTGTGAAAAGAAATCAGAGTTAACCCCTTTGAAACATTAACTCTGATTTCTCTTCATATGCTGCCAAACCTGCTGAGCTTTTCTAGCAATTTCTATGTTTGTTTTTGGATGTGAGGAATGTCACCAGATCTGCCATGATCCTGTTGAATAGCAGAGCACATTCGACGGGCCAAATGACTAGCTCTTGTTCTTATTTCTAATGGTCTAATTGTCTAATGGACCAGGGCAGGCCCCAATTGCTAGTGAAGCACAGGAACCAAAGCAATGGCAGCAGATGCCCAGAGGATCACATGGAGCATTGAAGAGCACTCCAAGCTCCAACAACACAGGTTCTAACCATAAGACATTGCTTTGGCTAGACAGTGAACTGATGCTTGTCAGAATACATACTTTTGTTTTTACACATGGGAAGACTGCAATGGAGCAGTTAGGACATAGCTATGTGTCGAGCTCAGAAAGCTGGATAAAGGATGGAAATATTGGGGGGAGCAGGTCATAGGAAGAATAATGGAAGTAGCAGAGAGCCAAGCCGCATTGTGCATATGGTGGGGTGTTGGCTGAAACACCATAACACCTTTCATTTATAAGGGACAGAAATGATCTTATTTCCAAGGATGGGCTGGGAAGATGCATACAATCACACATTCCTCTGGTTTCTTTCAGACTCGAGGTGGAAATAGAACAACTAGAGAGTGAAGAATCCCAAATCGCTGCCAAAGAGCAATTCCTTCGGGAAAAGCTACGGGAAGCTGAGAAATCTATCGAGGACTTGCAGAAGGTAGATATCAAGGCAGCAGAGCATTATTTACTGGATAGTTTAGACACACATTTGGCAGCTGAAAATTTGAGTTGGAACCAAGTCACCTTTCAAGCGGAAAGTAGAAAATCTCCTTAAAAAGCAAGAAGATAGCGGTTCACTATCTACTGTAAAATATATACATGACCATTCATGTTTAAAGGGCCTATATACATGACCATTCATGTTTAAAGGGCCTATATACATGATCATTCATGTTTAAAGGACCTATATACATGACCATTCATGTTTAAAAGGCATGGATAATTGGTTGTAAGTTACCTAGAAAGTCTTGACTTTTCACAGATGGTGCATTATTAACCCCCAGTATGACTCCAATCATTTTCCTGAACCATTCCTGGAACCCAATGATAATATAGTTTTAATTCCAGCAATACAGAGAAAAACTAATATGACAAATTAAAATGGGAATGAAATGAAGAGTGATTATCCCAACAGGAAAGAAGGAATAACTTGTTCATCATGTGAACATAGGAATAGGAGTAGGCCAGTCAGCCCTGTGAGCTTGTTCCACCATTCAACGAGATCATGGCTAATCATAGCCTAACTCCATATTCCTGCCTTTGGCCCATATTCCTTAATACCTTTGCTTAAGAAAGATTTATCTATCTCAGATTTAAAATTAACAACTGATCTAGCATCCAGTGCCATTTGTGGAAGGGAGTTCTAGATGTCTACCAACCTTTCGTGTGTAGAAGTTCTTCCTCACATCTCTCCTGAATAGTTTGGCCTTAATGTTTCGACATGTTCTAGTTCTTGAATCCCCAACCAGTGAAAATAGTTTATCTTTATCTACTCTGTTTATTCCTATTAATATCAAGACTTCAATCAGATAACCCCTTAATCTTCTAAATTCTAGAGAAAATGGGTCTAATTTGCACAATCTCTTTATAATCATAGAACAGAATAAAATAGAATCCCTACAGTATGGAAGCAGGCCATTCAGCCCATTGAGTCACATTGACCCTGCAGAGAGCACACTCCCACCCTATCCCTGTAATCGTTCATTTTCCATGGTTAATTCACCCAGCCTATATATCCCAGGACACTATGGGGCAATTTAGCATGGCCAATCCACCTAACCTGCATATCTTTGGACTGTGGGAGGAAACCCACACAGACTCAGGGAGAATGTGCATACTCCACACAGTCACCTAAGGGTGGAATCGAACCTGGGTACCTGGCGCTGTGAGATAGCAGTGCTAATCACTGAGGTACCGTGCCACTTTTGATTTGATTTATCATTGTCACATATACTGAGATATAGTGAAAAGTATTGTTTTGCATGCTAACACCGGTGGCACGGTGTCTCAGTGGTTAGCACTACTGCCTCACAGTGCCAGCAACCTGGGTTCGATTCCACCCTCGGGCCACTGTCTGTGTGGAGTTTGCACATTCTCCCCGTGTCTGCATGGGTTTGCTCTGAGTACTTTGGTTTCCTCTCACGGTCCAAAGATGTGCAGGTTAGGTAAATTGGCCATGCTAAATTTCCCATCGTGTTCAGGGATGTCTAGATTAGGTGGCTTATAGGGGAATGGGTCTGGGTGGGATTCTCTGAAGTTCGGTGTGGACTTGTTGGTTCAAAGGGCATGTTTCCACACTGTAGGGATTCTATGAAATCATACCTTACATAAGTACATCAGGGTAAGAGAACAGAATATAGAGTTACAGCTACAGAAGAGGTGCAGAGAAAGATCAAGTATCACTCTTGTAAACTAAGTTGTACTCCCTCCAAAGTCAATGTATTCTTCCCAAGGTATGGTGCCCAGATCTGCTCACAGTATTCCAAGTGAGGCCTCACCAGGGTTTTATATAACTTCAGAATAATCTCTGCATTTTTATACTCCAGTCCTTTATATATAAAGACCAGCATGTCATTGGCTTCCTTGATATTTTCTGCACCTGTTTGTGGCATTTTAAAAATCTATGCACCTGATAACCCCAAGTATCTTTCGATGTCCATTGTATTTAGCTTCATATCATCAAGAAAGTACCCTGATTTATCAGTTTTCAGCCTAAAATAGATAATCTCACACTTGCCTGCATTGAACTCCATCTGTCACAGTTTTTGCTATTCACATAGTCTATCCATAGCCTTTTATACATTTAAGCTATCATCTACATGGTCTACAATGCCATCAAACTTTGTATCATCAGAAAATTTAGATATGTGACCATCTGTGTTATTATCCAAGTTGTTAACAAATAATATGAATAATTGAGGCCCCAACACAGATCCATGGGGAACACCATTGGTCACAGATATTTTCTAACCAACCTGCTCAGAGAGATGTTATTACACATCTCTGGAGGTAGTGGCAGTCAAACCCAGGCCTCCTTGCTCAGAGGTAGGGGCATTACCACAGGGCCACAAGAACCACTGGTCACATCCTGTCAATTTTATTACCTACTCATTATCCTTGCTTTCTACCTCCCGTCACTCAACCAGTATTTTGCAAGCATTTCCGAGAGCTTTCACCTTATTTACTAGTCTGTTGTGTGGAATTTTACCAAATGCCTTACCAAACTCCATAGAAACAACATCCATAGCCATTCTGCTGTATTTTAAATACCTCTTCAAAAAATTCAGTGAGGTTTATCAGGTATGACTTGCCTGTAATGAATCCATGCTGGTTCTCCCTGATTAACTGAAAATGTTCGAGGTGTTCAGCTACACCATCGTTTATTATAGACTCCAGTACCCTAAAGTACCCTTTCAGGCAGTGTTTTCCAGATCACAATAACTTGTTGTTAGATTGTCCCCAAGCCAGTCAGTGACGTGTAGCACAGTAATACTTTTCATGATAATGGTTTTACTTTACAGAATGCAATATTGTATCTCTTTGCTTCCTATCTACCAACCAACCCACTGTCCCAGCAGGCTGTCTTTTTCAGTGTTCTGGATATTTTTAAACAATCTGCTCAGACATGTTAGGATTCACCTCTGGAAGAGGTGGGGCTTGAACCCAGATCTTCAAGCCCAGAGGTAGGGATGCCGCCACTGTATTTCAAAGGCCACCGACACATGTTCTAGGTATTTAACTAAACAATGTCATTCACTTATGTATCTTAAAAAAACTCATTAATTTTACATTTACACTCGCTATGCAAATAAAAGTCTGTACTCATCTCAATTTTGGTTTTACTAGCAATTAAAAACTGGGTCAACTGCCTGGAAGGGCCCTGTTGCCATAGCATTGTTGCAGTTATCACTCAGAATAAAATGCAGTCACATTTCTCACATGGATAGGGGAGATCCTGCCTAAGTAGCATCTGATGCAGTCAGATGTTAACAAACTTCTCCATAAAGCTGCGTTCACAGAAGCACAGCTGTTTTCAAAGCTCATCCGCAGCTGGCAAAAAGAGGCGAGGAGTGACCTAATGGATGCCTAAGATTATTATCAGTAAAGGCTAAGACAAGATTTGAATGCGGTTTTTAAAAGCATGAAGGATTTCCATTGAATAAATAAAGAGAAACCATTGCTAATTGCTGAGAGATCAATAATCACAGGGCACAGATTTAAGATGACGGGCTAAAGAACCAGAAGCGACATGGGCAAAAACTTTATTTCACTATTAGTGCTTAAGATTTAGGCCCAAACATGAGAGCAAAATATCAAGGATGGTGGAGTTCTGAGATAAAAACAGAAAGCGCTGGAAAAACTCAGTGGGTCTGCCAGCATCTGTGGAGATGTTTCAAACTTAATATGACTTTTTGATGAACATTTACAGTGTGCACAGTTTTTATTTCAAACTATACTTTATAAACCCTCAAATGCAGGTTCAGATACAGTTGATACATTCACCCAAGTCATTTCTGCTCTCCCTTTCCATTCCAGTTACTCCCCGTCTGTTTCTCTCTCTTCCTTTAAGATGCTCCTTAAAACCCACCTCTTTGACCAAGCAGCTGTCTTAATGACTCCTTCTGTAGTTCAATTTATTTATCAGCACATTTATAAAGTGCCTTGAGCAGTTTTGCTATGTTAAATGTGCTCTATAATCATAGAATCTGTACAGTGTGGAAGCAGGCCATTTGGCCCATCAAGTCCACACTGACCCACCAAACAGCATCCCACCTAGACCCATCCTCCTACCCTATTAGCCTGCATTTTCCATGGCTAATCCACCTAACCCTGGACTTGGGAGGAAACCAAAGCACCCATGCAGACACAGGGAGAATGAGCAAACTGCACACAGACAATCATCCAAGGCTGGAATTGAACCCTGGCACTGTGAGGCAGCAGTGCTAGCCACTGAGCCACCGTGCCACCCATAAATGCAAGTTGTGCCATTGGGAACGAAGACATATTTTCATCAATATCTTATAAGACTTAATTTAACAGTTTCCAAGCTTACATACATTCTCCGCAAAGGCTCGACTGTTGGATTGAAGGAATGAAACACAGCAGGAGGCTAGTTCGCCCTTCATCCAGTCCAAAATCAGGGGTTACAAAATAAATAAACAGGGTAGGTCTTTTAGGAGAGAAATGAGAATAAATTCCTTCACCCAGAGAGCAATAAATCTGATTCTCTACCACAGAAAGTGGTTGAGGCTAAACCATTAAATATTTTCAAGATGGAGTTAAATATATTTCTTAGAATCAAAGGGTGTCAGGCAAAATAGGGAACAGGGTACTGAGAAGGATGATTGGCCACAATCATATTGAATGATATAGCAGCATTGAAGGGCCTAATGGCTTATTCCTGTTCTTATTTTCTATCTTTATAAGTTTCCATGCCTTTCATTTAGATTAATCTGTATCGGAACACATATATACCTGCCCTGGTCCCATAGCCTATTACATCCTTGTACAACAAAGATCTATTAATCCCAGTTCCAATGTTTTCAGCCTTTTTTGGGTATGCTTCCAGACTTAACTTTCCTTTTTAATCACAGCTTCCTGGCATCATCGAGAAACAGCCTGTCTCTAAATTTAAGGATACGCTCCTGTATGTTCCGACTGGAAGTCATAGTTTCTATTTCTTTATCAACCCCTTTGGTTATCTTAAACATGCCAATTAAATTGTTCCCATATCTAACATATTAAAGGAGTAGAAGGTCACAGCATACCCTCAAATTGATCTAGTTTAGCCCTAATACCATTCTGTGCTACTCTGACCAATGCCTTCCTGGCAGCATCCAGAATTCACTACAATGCTTCAGATGGGGTTTGACCAGAGTTCTGTACAGAGAAATGTAGCACAACTTCCACCCTTTTTGTATTGCAGCCCTTGAGTTTAAGGAACTTGTTAATAGCTATTGGCATGGCATTGTTCACGCAGAGAATGCCCCTGGAGCTCAACAATGACCTTTCGTCCTCACCAAGTGGGCCCCACCAAAATACAATTGTGAATAGCTCCCCTGCAGGAATGAAAACAACTGTATGACATTTCTTTAAAAGCTACACGCCACATAAATTTGTGCTAAATGTCAATTGATGAATAGAGGCCACCATCATTTCAGAATCGGTACATTCCCATTCATCACTTGAGAAGAAAAAGCATTCAGTCTTTGCTCCCTTTTAAAAGCAGCAGAGTGGCATTCGTAGTGATAATATGCAATCATGTGACTTTTACGCACTGATGCTCGACTGCTTAGGTCTGTATAAAGAGTCCTGTTATCGTGCTTTATAATAATTGCAATTGAAACCCAGAAATTCAATCTCAGCATTTACACAGGTGATAATCTTATGATCAGGCTATGTGACTTCAATCATTGTGTTTTATCTGGCATTGGTGTGTTTTTCATGCTCATGTATTCTTTTTATTCTTCACAGGGTTTCTCCAATCCTGATGGAGGTAAGTACGTATTTTATACAGGGTTTAAGATAGACTGGTTAGCAAGGCTGTTTGCTTGTCTGTGGCATAGATGAAGACTGCAGTTGCATGCGTCACCTTCACTGAATGAACACTCCTGTACATCATCGCTCTTAAAGAGAAAGGGCCTGCATCAAAAAAAGCTGTTGATTAATTACATTAGCATTCCTAAAATTTAAAAAAAATGCTAAAGGACTTCTCTTAAGTGCACTCAAAATTAACTTAATTGCAATGTTTCTCAGAGGGCAAAGCCAGTGCTGGTCAATACTGGATCTTTGTTTTGAAATGCACAAGACAAGTCAGACCAGTTTGTATCATTCACCAGTTTTATTGTATTTTTTTTTGGGTTTGAAGTTATGATATAATCAGAAATGTGTCAATCTTTGAACTTCTCTAAATGGGGATGCTCAGTTATTGAGTATATTTGAGGCTGAGATTGGGTACTACGGGAATTGGGTTCAATGGGGATAATGTGGCAAAGTTAGAGTAACATAGAAGATCAGTCTTTGAGTGGTGGAACAGGTTCAAGGGGCTGAATGGCAACTCCTGCTCCCATTTTGTGCGTTTTTATAGTGCAACATATTGGTAGCAGGAGGTTCAATCAGCCTTCGCTCTGGGGTTGCATTTTACAGGTGAGGAGCTGGGAGGAGGGGTGGCAGTTTGCTGTTTGTCTCCAGAGAGAAAGTCAGCCAGACGCCAACATGATCAAAGGAAATCTGCCTCCCAGCTAGAACATGCTCTAGGAAGTCTAAATTGGTTATCATGGTGAGGAAGCACCACACTCAGTAGCTGCCAGCTATTGGTTCCAGCGGTGACGTAGTTCAGCATTGGGCATTGTGGAGAACCGAGGAGATCCTCACAACGCTAGACACCAGGTCATAGGGCAGGAAGGGCTGCTTGAGGCCAGAAGGGAGTAGAGGAGAGTGAGGTTTTATAGAGCAGGCAACATGGCAGCAAAGGAGTGGGGGTTTGACTTGTTGGCATGTTGCCCTTGATGCATGTGTGACACCCTGAATGCAGGTCATTGAGAAAAAGGCCCGCACTGCCCATTGCCACCCATATCAACTGTAATTTGGCACGAGCAACATTTTATTCAGGTCAGTCAGCTTCCCTACAAGCCTAATTGACCTTTTCTTACTTACACATGTATGGTGAGGAAGCTGCCGACTTCACTGCCCATCCACTTCACATATTATCGGGGTTAGCTCTGAATGTGGAGGATGGTGGTGGGCTAGACAGTGATAACACACCCAGTAAGGGGAGGTGATGGCCGAACAGTAATATCGATCCAGAAACTCAACTAATCTTCTGAGGAGATAGTAGGAACTGCAGATGCTGGAGAGTCTGAGATAACAAGGTGTAGAGCTGGATGAACACAGCAGGCCAAGCAGCATCAGAGGAGCAGGAAAGCTGACATTTCAGACCCAGACCCTCTAGGCCTGAAACGTCAGCTTTCCTGCTCCTCGGATGCTGCTTGGCCTGTTGTGTCCATCCAGCTCTACATCTCGTATCTCTAATCTTCTGAGGACCTGGGTTTGAATCCTGCCATGGCAGATGGTGGAATTTGAATTCAATAAAAATTATTTGGAATTAAGAATCTACTGTTGACCATGAAAGCATTGTCGATTGGCAGAAAAACCGATCTTGCTCACTAATATCCTTCACGGGAGAAAATTTGCCATCCACACCTGTTCTGGCTTGCATGTGACTCCAAACCCATAGCGAGTGGTTGACGCTCAACTGCCCTCTGAAATGGCCAAGCAAGCCACTCAGTTGTATCAGTCATAGAGCTATACAGCATGGAAACAGACCCTTTGGTCCAACTCGTCCATGCTAACCAGATATCCTAGTCCCATTTGCCAGCATTTGGCCCATATCCCTCTAAACCCTTCCTATTCATATACCCATCCAGATGCCTTTTAAATGTTGTAATTGTACCAGCCTTTACCACTTCCTCTGGCAGCTCATTCCATACAAACAGCACCCTCTGCATGAAAGTGTTGCCCCTTAGGTCCCTTTTAAATCTTTCCCCTCTCACCTTAAACCTGTGGCATCTAGTTTTGGACTCCCCGACGCTCGGGAAAAGACCTTGACTATTCACCCAATCCATGCCCCTCATGGTTTAATAAACCACTATAAGGTCACTGCTCAGCCTCCAACACTCCAGGAAAAATAGCCCCAGCTTTTTCATCCACTTGTGGCTCAGACCCTCCAACCATGGCAACAGCCTTGTAAAGCTTTTCTGAACTCTTTCAAGTTTCGCAACACCCTTCTTATAATCAGGGAGACCAGAATTGCACACAATACTCTAAAAGTGGCTTAACCAATGTCCTGTACAGCCGCAACACAACCTCCCATCTCCTATACTCAGTGCACTGACCAATAAAGGCAAGCATACCAAACGCATTCTTCACTATCCTATCTTCTTGCGACTCCACTTTCAAGGAACCATGAACCTGCAGTCCAACGTGTCTTTGTTCAGTAACACTTCCCCAGGACCTTACCATTAAGTGTGTAAGTCCTGCCCTGATATGCCTGTCCAAAACGCAGCATTCTTCATTTATCTAAATTAAACTCCACCTGCCCCTCCTCGATCCATTAGCCCATCTGATCAAGGTCCTGTTGTACTCTGAGTTAACCTTCTTTGCTGTCCACTACACCTCCAAGTTTGGTGTCATCTGCAAACTTATTAGCCATATCTCCTATATTCATATCCAAATCATTTATATAAATGACAAAAAGCACTGGGCCCAGCACCAATCCTTCTGGCACACTGCTGGTCACAGGCCTCCAGTCTGAAAAGCAACCCTCCACCACCACCCTCTGTCTTCTACCTTTGTGTCAGTTCTATATCCAAATGGCTAGTTCTCCCTGGCTTCCATGTGACCTAAGCTTGCTCACCAGTCTACCATGAGAAACCTTGTCTAATGCCTTACTAAGTCCATATAAATCACGTCCACCACTCTGCTTTCATCAATCCTCTTCATTACTTCTTCAAAAAACTCAATCAAGTTAGTGAGACATGATTTCCCACGCACAAAGCCATGTTGACAATCCCTAACCAGTCCTTGCCTTTCCAAATACTTGGAAATCCTGTCCGTCAGGATTCCCTCCAAAAACTTGCCCACCACTGATGTAGGCTCACCGGCTTTCCCTTACCACCTTTCTTAAATGGTAGCACCACGTTAGCCAACTTCCAGTCTTCCGGACCTCACCTGTGGCTATCGATGATAAAAATATCTCAGCAAGGAGCTCTGCAAGCACTTCCCTAGCTTCCCACAAAGTTTTAGGCTACACCTGATAAGTTTCCAGAGATTTATGTATTTTAAGACATCCAGTGCCACCTCCTCCTCTGTAATATGGACATTTTTCAAGATGTCGCTGTTTATTTCCCCAAGTTCCCTAGCTTCCATATCCTTCTCCTCAGTAAACATAGGAATATCCTCCCTAAGTACATCCGAAATTTATCAGTCATCAAAAACGCCACTCCCCTCCTCTCTTGCCCCTCTTTCTATCCTTCTAATTGCATCTACACCCTGACATATTAAGTGGCCAGTCCTGTTCATCCTTGAGCCATATCTCTGTAATGACTATGATATCCCAGTCCCATATTCCCAAACATGCCCTGATTTTGTTGCCTTACCTGTTAGGCCTCTTGCATTGAAATAAATGCAATTTAGTTTATCAGTCCTACCTCGTTCTCTGCTTTGTTCCTGTCTCCCTTGACTGTTTGACTCACTGCTTTTCCCAACTGCACCAGTGTCATACTGATCTCTTTTCTCACTGTCTCCCTGGGTTAACCCCCAACCCCCTTCCAACTTAGCTTAATTCCTCCCAAGCAGCTCTAACAAATTTCTATGCCAGTATATTAGTCCCCTTCCAATTCAGGTGCAACCTGTCCTTCTTATACAAGTCACTTCTACCCCAGAAGAGATTCCAATGATCCAAAAATGTAGATCCTTCTCCCCTGCACCAAGTCCTCAGCCACACCATTCATCTGCTCTAGCCTTCTATTCCTACTCTCACTAGCTTGTGGCACCAGGAGTAATACAGACATTACTGCTCTCGAGGACCTATTTTTTAAATTCCTGCCTGATTTCCTATATACTCTCCTCAGAACCTTGTCCTTTTTTCTTCCTATGTTGTTAGTTCCAATGTGTACAATGACCTCCTGCTGGTCCCTCTCCCCTTTGAGAATATTCTGCACCCTCTCTGAAATATCCTTGATCCTGGCACCATTTCTAATGCCTCACTGTTGGCTGCAGAAACGTCTACTTGTGCCTCTGATGAGAGAGTTCCCTATCACAATCGATCGCTTGGAACCTGATGTACTTCTTGTTGCATTAGAGTCAGTCTCAATACCAGAGACCTGGCTGTCTGTGCTACACTCCCCTGAGAGTCCATCACCCTCTGCATTTTCCAAAACAGCATACTTGGTTGAGATGGGGATAGCCACAGGAGACTCCTGCACTAGCTGCCTACCCCTCCCACCTTTCCTGGAGGTAACCCATCTACCTAACTGTGTCAGAGATAGTAGGAACTGCAGATGCTGACAGGTCAAGGGGGCGGGACCTGTCCATCCTCCCTGGACTGACCTATCCCCTCCCTAACTCCCCACCTACACTCACCTTTACTGGCTCCATCCCCGCCTCTTTGACCTGTCTGTCTCCTCTCCACCTATCTTCTCCTCTATCCATCTTCTTTCTGCCTCCCCCTCTCTCCCTATTTATTTCAGAACCCCTTCCCCTCCCCCATTTCTGAAGGAGGGTCCAGGCCCGAAACGTCAGCCTTCCTGCTCCTCTGATGCTGCTTGGCCTGCTGTGTTCATCCAGCTCTACACCTTGTTACCTAACTGTGGTTTTTCTCCCTTCCTGCAACTGTCATCCATAACACCTCATAGCTCCTGTAAATTCTTCATTGCCTCTAATTTCTACTCCAACCAATCCATGCAATCCAATAGAATTTGCCACCAAACACACTTC